CATCATCGGCATCGGCATCATCATCGGCATCATCATCCCGCATCATCATCAGCATCATCATCCCGCCTTGGTTCCACGACGATCCGTGTCCAAACGCCACGTAGTGGCACGCTCCCGCGGTCGTGCTTGCCCTGTGGTGGGGGATGTTGTCTTGGTGCGACACGGCAGATGAATCGAGACGATGGGAAAAAACAAGAAGAGTGCTGGGATTTACCCTCTCTGCCAACAACGCGGGAGGTGTTAAGATGTCCGAATGTCAAACGGGCGCACACACGGCGATTTGCGGCTCGCAAGGCGTCGGTGTCTGCATGAACCACGCGTTTAAGATTTGTCGCTGCATGAACACGCGTTTAAGATTTGTCGCTGCATGAACCACGCGTTTAAGATTTGTCGCTGCATGAACCACGCGTTTAAGATTTGTCGCTGCTCGCCTATTTTTAAATCCTTTATATTAAGTTCGCTTGCTTGCGCGCTTACGACCGTGCAAATCTTTTGGTCGTTTTTTAACCCACTTCCCGTGATCCAATCGAGCTGACATTTTGCACACAGACTCATTGTGCGTGACAATTTATTTTCGTGAATTTTTTTTCTCCAAAATTTTCAACATTTTAGGAATTTTTTTTTATATTTAATTACCAATTGCTTAATGGTGGCAGGCAATCATCTGACCATAGGTGGCAGCCATCTCAAGCCAGGGACGAGAGGACTCTAGCCGCCACGCATATAAAGAATTTATAGTAAAAACTTAGTTTTTACGGGTTAATTTTTATTCTTTCCTCCCCACCCCCCACAATCCAGGTGCCCCTGAGCACGCAGGGCTCCTAAGCCTTCGCTCACCGCGCTTTCCGCTCGGCAGCCGCCGCTGACGTATGCGGCCGTAAGCCGATAGCTCTGTTTGCCCGGCGCTGGAGAATTGCGTGCGTGCATGCGGTGTGTGTGTGTGTGAGAAAGAGCGCTAGAGAGAGAGAGAGGAAAAAAAGGATTTCTGGCTGTGCCTGTCACTTCCAATCGCAGGCGACTTACGACGGGGTGGGGGGGTGGCTGTGACGTCAGGGGTGCAAGGGGGACGTCGAGAGGGGGGGGGGGGTATGCTGAGTGGTGGGTCAGCACACGGCAGTCCTGACCACACCGACCCTGCTGAGTCTCCAGGAGGGGGGGTGGGGGGGGGAGGAAAGGTCTCCGGCACGACGGATTTGGACCCGGTGACCTGGCGGATGTGTGCGGTATCAACCCTCTTGAGTCCGAGTCCGTTTCGTCATCGGTGGTGTTATATTCAGGGCGCCACGGTGGCTAAGAGATGTTAACTACCTCGCCTGGTATACAGGAGGTCGTGGGTTCGATCCTGACCCTGATTGCTGCTGCTGTAATATTTGGAGTTGCGTGTCTATCTCATCGTCATCATCACGGTGGCTAGGAGATGTTAACTACCTCGACTGGTATACAGGAGGTGTGGTTCGATCCCGACCCTGACGCCTGCGCTGTATATTTGGAGATTGCGGTGTCTCTCTCTCTCTCCCCGTGGTCGCGTAGATTTCTCCTGGTCCTCCGGTTTCCCCCCACATTTATAAACAGCGTTTCGAATGTTTGGCCGCTGTAAATGTACACGTGGTGATAAGCCACTTTGTGTTGAGCTTCTGAAAAAGAGCGACACAACTCGGTGGGCCTTACCTAGAAAAATAAAAAACAGCTCATATTTTAGGTTGTAGTATGCTAGCGAGCTCGCTGTGTGTGTGTGTGATCAGCACAGCGCATTCGTGATGGTACGCGGCGATGAGCGGTTAGATTTCACGGGGGGGGGGGGTGGAGGGGGTTACCTTAGCGACTGCTTTTCGGTGCCTCGGTTTTGCGGGGACCTCCTCTCGCCCCCCACATCCCCTACGCCACCCCCCCCCCCCCAAATCAACCCACGGAGTCTCCACATCAGCTGTTCACCACCTTTCCTGTGGTCTGCAGGCGGCCTGGTGGTACCGCGATGCTACTACTACTACTACCACACGGGGGCGTCCGTGGAAAAGACGACACATTTTATATCGACATCCTCGCCAAGGAAATGTGCAAAGTCAAATCACTGGGTAGTTGCTGTAGCGTGTGGCGGTCCGAGAAATGTTTGGAGGTTCAAAAAGGGGATCCGCTACGACTCGGTGTACGGCGGGGAAAGCCGCACCGGCGCTGATCACGACACCAAACAGCGGCACACGCCGGCACTTTTAATTTCGGCACTCGACAACGGCGGCAGGACAAAGGTGCGTTTTAGAGTCTTTAACCGCTGCTTATAACATTTCCGCGCGATGACAAGCCACTTTGCGCGTCATCTCTCTCTCTCTGTCCCCGTGGTCGCGTGGATTTTTCTCCGGGTCCTCCGGTTTTTCCACCCCCCCCCCCCCCCCGCTTCCCTCCACGTTTGGAATCGACGTCACGGCGCGCTCGAAGAGCGTTTGCCTGCTAGAAATGGTGGATTGAAGCCTTCCCATCTTGTCTTGTGGTGGTAGAGGGCTTTATTTCGACCATATTTCACCACGCCGATCGGTGTGGATTGGTGAAACGTGGGTGGGGTGGGGGGTGGGGGGTTGGTGGTGCCTGCTGCGCCAGGAGCGGTTCGTCCGGTGTCACTCACCACTGCTGCTGGCCGCGGCTTGCAATCGAACCGAGACCGTTGTGCAGAGGTCGCAACCGGGTACCCGATACCCGTACCTTACACGATACCCGGCTACCTGTACCCGACCGGGTACGGGTACCTGGTGTGGCCGGGTACGGGTACGGGTAGGCCGTGAATCACTGGTGAGTAACCGTTTGTCACTCATTTCGGGTGACAAACGGTTACTCACCAGTACCCATTTGC